GGGGGGGGGTCGCTGGTGGGGAGGGGGTTCCTGAGAGCCGGGCGGTGCCTGCGGGCGCAGCCGCGTTCCTCCTTCCCTTCCTCCTCCTTGTCTTCCTCCTCCTCCCCCCGCTGCCTCCGAGCTGTTCTCGGCTTTCCCCCGGGGGGTGGGGCGGGCGGGCGCTTGTTTTCCCTAGGTGAGACCTTTTATCTCGGTGTCGAACTTGGGTTACACGTTAACCGCTCTGTCCCTTGCCCTTGGCGGGCTGGTTATCAGCACAGCTCAGCAGCTTCCAGGCGGCTCTGCCCTTGGGGCTGGGCTGGATGGATGGGTGGCAGGAGTTGACTGACGAAGCGATTGGCACCTTTCCCACGGGCGTTCTTGTCTCTGGGGCAAGGTGTTGTTTTTTTTTCACTACTGTTTTTTAATTCACTACAAAGTGAATTAGTAGGAATCGGTGGTTTCCTTGGCCCTGTGCTTACATGTCTCATTTGGCATGAGACTCCAGTTTTAGCCGTAGCTGGGATGAGTGAATTGGGTCCAAGCAGCTGCTCTTGACCTCTGTGCAGCAATCTTTACTGCTTTGGACGTGCAGGTAACTCGAGACCTCCCAGTGACACTAGTATGTTGTGGCATGTAGGTGTGGAACTTCACAGCTTGTTTTTGCATGACTGTGAAGGTCTGCACCTCAGCTACAAGCTGAGTGTGATTGTGTTGTTGAAGGGTAGTGGTCCACAAGCACCAGTGTCTTGTCTTGAACCTCCAAGCTGCTGGCTTAAGAGCAGAAAATTCTGTGGTAGTTTGGTAAATAACTGGGCAGTTGACACAAAGCTTTCCATTGAATCCTGAACAAACAAGCTGTGTGATGGCTTCTAACTGCTGTTACAGTTTGGTTTTTTTCTTTCAAAAAACATGACCTTGTATTTGCAGTTTGAATATGTATTTTCAGTTTCTTTTGTCATCTTGTCTTTGAAATGAGATACAATTTTTTTTTTCCCCCCATAAGTAGAAAGTGTATTTCTTAATCTAATCCCTGATAAGCCATGGGAAGCATGAGAACTTTGTTGCAAAAGTACTTCAAGTTCTTGGCCACCTTTAAGGTCTATTGCAAGTCAGAACTTTGACTTACAAACATTGTAAACAAACCCGGGCAAACCAAGGGAGCAGGGAGAACTTTTTCTTCTTGAAAGAGGCTTTTCAAGTCTGCTGTGTTTGAAATGGTACCTTTGTGGGGAGTTTCTTTTGTGTGTCTTGGAAAACTGAACCATGTATTTGTGAAGGGGCACAGGTTAAAGCTTAGTCCTAGTCAGCAAAATGGAACTTGCCACGAAGGGCAGAGCTTTGCCACCCTGCCCTGCTGCCCTTGTGCTGCTACCAGCCTGAGCTTGGCCTCCCGCCATCTGGGAGCAGGGCTGATAGGAGGGTGTCTGAAGTCACAGTGTGGACTTGGCTGTGTGAGGCTCGGGGTTTTGAGCTTATCAACTCCTTTTTTCAGTCCTACTACTTTGACCGGGACGATGTGGCCCTGAAAAACTTTGCCAAGTACTTCCTGCATCAGTCCCACGAGGAGCGTGAGCATGCTGAGAAGCTGATGAAGCTGCAGAACCAGAGGGGTGGGCGCATCTTCCTGCAGGACATCAAGGTGAGGAGTGGAGCTGGTCCTTGTCCTATCTAATTGCAGATCTAGACTCTTGTTCTGTTTCCAGGCTCCTTCAATTTAATGGCAAGAGCTTCTCTGTTCTCCACGCTGGTTTCTAGAGAACTCTTGAGTCTCTTGCCAGGGCAATATGAAATGTCCAGTTTGCAATGGCTTGTTATGGCTCACTGCAAGATCTTATAGCAATGTTTTCTTGAAGTCACTTTAATTACATCATTTGGCACAGCAGAAAGTAAGCAGTACTGTGGGGGCAGTTTAGTGCATGAGCTCTTTGTGGGAGAGAAGAGCAAACACAGCAAGTGATGGGCACTTGACAAGAATTCCTTTGTTTACCAGTAAATCTGAGTACTTGTAAACACCAGGCAGCTCTGAGCTGAGGACTAGATCTGCCTGCACTGGTGTCTCAGCTGCTTCATTTCTGAGATCCTTCCCATTGCCTGCTCATAGAGTGACATGTTTAAGCCATTAGGTTGTAACAGGAGGGGAAAGACAGTACATTGTAGTTTTCTTGCCTACAGGAGTTTGGAGAACACAATATGAGGAGAACCATGGGCATGGGGACCAGTCTGTGCATTCAGTCCTGTTCAGGATGTGCACTGTGTCCACCAAGTTTTAAAAGATACCTAAATGCCTGAACTTGGTCTAAAGAGAGGCTTTGAGACTGGTCTGGAAGACTTTGCTCCCTGATGCTCTGTGGGTACTTAAAACAGAGTTGTGTGCTCTTCCCCTTGTAGAAACCAGACCGTGATGATTGGGAGAATGGCCTGACTGCAATGGAGTGTGCCCTGCACCTGGAGAAGAATGTGAACCAGTCACTGCTGGAGCTGCACAAACTGGCAACTGAGAAGAATGACCCACATGTGAGTGGATGCAGCAGCTGGGGATGTGGCTGAGCTGTCAGGGGGCTTGTGTCTGCCTAGTGCTGGGGGTTCAGGGGCAAGCTGTGTGTCCCTGCCATGCCTGAAGGTGGAAAAAGGATGTGAATTAGTGGTGCAGCTTTGCTGAAGGGAAGGCCTGGGTGTCAGCCTGTCCCTCAGCTGTTGGGTTATTCCCACAAGTGGCCAGGAAGGACCAGTTGCAGTGTGCTGGGGTGGCTGAGGCCTGCCTTCCTGACCAGTAGGTGCATTGCTTTGTTCAGGCCTTTCTGTTCCTCTTGGGACCAGAGGGTGCTCATGGACAAACAGAAAGAAGGCCTTGGTTCTGTGTGGGATGAGTTCCTTCAATCAATGAATGCCTGTAAGGCTGTCATAACATTCAAGCATTGCTTCCAAATATTAAAAGCCCTGACACTTCAAAGCACAGTGTCTGGAAACACAGGCTGCTTCCCAGGTGGGAGTTATGGGCAAGGCTGGATTGAGGCTTCTTAGTATGAGAGATCAGCAGGTGTCTGAATCAAGGAAGCATTGTGCATGTGGGAGATGAACTTCTTTTGAAAGAAGTAATACTGCTGGGCCACTCTGCAGGTGTAAATCTAGATGGGTATAGATCCAAGTGCTGTGCAGTGGGGCCTTCTGCATCTGTTTGGAAACTTTTCTCTTGCTTCTAATGAGAAAGGGAGAGGCTCCCTGAGCTGGGGTCTGGAGCAAGCATGCCTAGGTGAGCCTGCTTCACTTTTTGGTCTTGTTCTGGCTTTGCTGAGGCAAAACTGAAGGCTCCTTCCTCCCTGCTGTCTTCTGCAGAATTAAAGTTGTCATTCTGGATCTTTTCCCTGGACAGGATTAGGATTTCTGATGTTGCTTCAGCAGG